ATAATGGTCAATGTAGTACTATACATTTCTCACAACCAGTGATTTTTCTGACAACTCACAATTGACTAGTTTTAGCATTAAACACAAATACACACTCTTACACTCATTACACACATTGTAACAGAAATCGCCCAACATTTTACACTTCACATCATCCTTGGATAAATAGAAGAAAGAGCAGGTGAAATGAGTCTGCTTTCAGTCTTGCTCTGCATCAGAAAATGACCACAAAATACCAAGAATCTTTTTGAAATCCACTAGTTCATTCCAGAATGATAGTCATTTTCTGAAATCACAATAGGGGAAACCCAGAGGTGATAAGTGAAAGTAGGCAAAGTTACAAACTTTATAATGTTAGAACAAGACCTGTGGTTAAAGACACCGTGTAGCATTTTCTATGTTTGCTTGTATTTCTGACAGTGTGGGTCCTTGGTAAAAGCCATCTAGACTCATTTCCTCATTTCCCTTAGATCTGAGTGTTTCAGACTGCCGGTTGCGATCCATTACTCATTGGGTTGTGAAGTCAATTTAGTGAGTCATACTGCATTACAAGAAGAATAGAAAATTTCACATTACATCAAACAAGCGTATTGTTTCATAGGACATTTTATTTATGTATATGTGTGAGATTGGGATATAATATATGTAGTCTGTTTCTTACTGTGGATTGCATTTTTTTCTTTTTCTTTTTTTATTAAATTATTATCTGTGTACATATTTTACCATTGCCCCCCCTCCCATACATATCCACCCTCCCCAGAGTTTTGTGTCCATTGGTTGTACTTATTTTCATGTATACAAGTCCTTTGGTTTATTATTCATAAATGAGTGAGGTCATATGGTATTTCTTTCATTGACTGGCTTATTTCACTCAGCATGTTCTCCAATTCTAGTGGATTGCATTATTTTTTTAAGTTTAAAAATTACTGTCCAGGGTGGGTGCGTGGGAAGAGACCAACCAAAAAAACTTTATGCATATATGCATAACCTATGGACACAGACAATAGACTGTTGGGGACAGGGAATAAGAATTGAACCCAGGACCTTTTGGTCCACAGGCTGCCACGCTCTATCCACTGAGCAAAACCAGCGAGGGCTCAGTAATTTTAAAATCATCTTTTCCTTGACTTTTATTTTTTTTATATATTTTATTTTTTACAGAGAGGAAGGGAAAAGAATAGAGAGCTAGAAAAATCAATGAGAAACACAGACAAGCTGCCTCCTGCACACCTCCTACTGAGTACAAGCCTGCAACCCTGTACATGCACTGACCACTAGGGGGAAGACACCGGTAGGTGAGCTTGCTGCTGGGGTCACGCTGATTGTGACTGAGCTATGGGCCCGACATGCCCTGGAGCCTTCTGATGGTCTCCCCAGATGGCCAACCTCCCGTCTCTCCCTGGCTTCAATTGTGCACCAGTGGGGTCCCTTGGCCTGGCCTGCACCCTCTTGCAATCTAGGATCCCTTGGGGGATGTCAGAGAGCTGGTTTCGGCCTAATCCTCCAGGCCAGGGAGAAGGATACAACTAGTGCATGCACCAGGCCTCTAGTACAGTAAATTAGGTGACAGTTGAAATGGAAAATAAGCAAGGAATAAGCAGAGTACACATTTTTAAATGAGTCTTATTTCTGATAAATACAAAATCTGGTCTTTGGTTGTCCCTATATATTGCTTCAACTGTCAAAGCAGCTTATTTCATTGTCTATCTGGTGATCATTAATTGTGAGCTATTTGGTTGACCTAAAATTTCAGCAACCTTAATGTCTCCTTCAGGTTGTTTTAATGGCTAGTGTCCTTATTTTTATAATTAATTTTACTGGAATACAGCCAGGCCCATTGCTTTACATCAAGCATGTCAAAGGCTAACACGGCCAAATAAATGAAGCGTTTGGCCCGTGGGCTGCGAGTCTGACATGCTTGCTTTTCACATTATACGTATATAGCAGAGTTGAGTTGATATGACAGAAACTGTATAGCTCACAAAACCTAAAATATTTAGTATCTGGCTACTTACAGAAAAAATTTGCAGGCTTCTGATCTAGAGAGATAAACACAGAAACTAAATAAAACAAACTGAAATGGGCACTAACATATACTATTAGAGTAAGTGAATTGGTATGTCCTTAATAAAAATACACTTTCATTCAGTAACAAAATCTGAGAAATGAGCCTAATAACCAGAGAAGTACACAAAAATTTGTGTGGTAGGCTAATAAAAACATTATTTATAATAGCAAAAAGTTAGAAGTGCCTGAGGCTCAGAGGTTGAGTGTCAATTTATGAACCAGTAGATCACAGTTCAATTCCTGGTCAGGACACATGCCTGGGTTGTGGGCTTGATACCCAGTGGGATTTGTGCAGGAGTCAGCCAATCAATTCTCTCATCATTGATGTTTCCATCTTTCTCTTCTCCTTTCCCTTCTCTGAAATCAATAAAAATATATTTTAAAAAGTAAGAAGCAATTAACATACCCCAAAAGATATTAAATAATGGTATGTTCATGAAATGGTACAGATTTATTGAAATATGCTCATGACAGCAGCAGCCGGGTCGAGAGCAGCAGCGGCCGGGCCCGGAGCGGCTGGGCCCAGAGCAGCCGGGTTGGGAGCAGCCAGGCCCGGAGCAGCAGCGGCCAGACCCAGAGCAGCTGGTTGTGGAACGGGCCAGACCAACAGAGGCCAGGCCTGTAACAGCCGGGCCCGGAACAGCTCGCTCCTCACCTGCCCATGCCCCAGGGTTGCTTCTCAGACATGGCTGGAAACCTTTGGGGGAACTTGAGGGTCTGCTGAATCAAGTGATGAAGGCTTAGATCTGGATGTGTTGAGTTAGTATAGCGCTGGGGTGTTCATCTGAGTGACTTGTGTGGGGTCTGGATGAGGTTGGTTGATCTATTTGGAAGTGTCTTTTGTGTGAAGTGTATCTTTGGGCATGTGGAGGTATTATTAATTTGAGAAAATACTAAGTAATTGATTTACTACCTGAAAAATTTAAAGGTCTGAAAGTTTAAGGTCTCTTGCCAAAAAGAGGTTTTAAAGCTAACACCTTAATTTTAATGGAGAAAGGGGAGGACAAACCCTTCCCATCCAGAACAGGTAATCCAATTCCAGTCAGCAGCTATGTTTAACAGTGTGTCCATTTACATTTGAATGGCTACACCTTTTGATAGCCTAAGGGCAAGTTTACATGTAAACAAGTTTGCTTCTCAGTTCCCAGGGCAGAAAAAACAAGGTTTAAAATTATTAGATTTTAAAATTTATCTTAAAAATATAAAAGTTTATTAATTTAAAAAAAAGCAAATTACAAAACCTGATGAACAATATTAACTTGATTATAATAGAATCAGAGATACGGGAGGGGAGTGGACTGACAATTCTGGGGGGGGGGGGGAAGGGGAGTGGTGGATATGGGAAGAGACTGAACATAAACTGTGCACCTATGGATGAGGACAATGGGGGTGGGGAAAGGGCAGAGGGTGGGGTGGGAACCTGGTAGAGGGGGGAAGAAATGAGGAACCTTTGTAATAATATGAATAGATTGATTTATAAATAAACAAATTTCCTTTATTTTCATTAAAAAAAAATATGCTCATGAATCTAAAACCTTGACAAAATTCAGTCTTTTGTATTTTACCTTGGCTCCTCTCATTTTACTTCCTACCTTATTTCATAATCACCCAGGCTTTCTTCATTTGCTGCTGGTTAAACTCGCCACCTGTCATCTTGGTGTTAACTGGGGATTTTTCTGGACTTTTCTCTCTCAACTAGAGGCCTGGTGCACAAAATATGTGCACTGGGGATGGGTGTCCCTCAGCCGATTTAGGCCCTATACTTGTGTGATGAGGCCTAACCTGGCAGTTGGATATCCCTCTCACAATTCAGACTGCTGGTTCCCAACACTCCCCTGCCTGTCTGCTTGTCCCTAACTGCTTCTGTCTGCCAGCCTGATCACCCCCTAACCGCTGCCCTGCCAGCCTAGTTGCCCCCAACTGCCCTCCCCTGCCAGCCATCTTGTGCAAGGGTGACAGTCAATTTACATATTACCTCTTTATTAAATAGGATTTCACTCTTGCTGTTTCTTGCCCATAAACATGAGCAAAACACTGTGACAAAACAACCAACTATTCTCAACCTATGAACTGTTTAATCTATCTCTTTTTTTTTTTTTTTTAAATATATTTTATTGATTTTACACAGAGAGGAATTGAGAGGGAGAGTTAGAAACGTCGATGAGAGAGAAACATCAACCAGCTGCCTCTTGCCCACCCCCGACTGGGGATGTGCCCGCAACCAATGTACATGCCCTTGACCGGAATCAAACCCGGGACCTTTCAGTCCGCAGGCCGACACCCTATCACTGAGCCAAACCGGTTTCGGCTATTTCTCTCTTTTTTTTAAGTGGAACCAAAGTTTATTAAGAGAAGACAGCTACTTCTTTTAACCAATACCCTTCCAGATAGGGGGATAGAATCTTACTATACAAACATGCTCCCCATTTTTCCACTCACTTCACCTAAGCTTCTTTGCCCTGCCCTTCCCCTTGCGCTAATGATATTTCCACTGTAACTAATGACCAAGTTGTAAATTGAATGGCAATATTTTTTAACTGTAAGGATAGTTTATTAAAACAGTACTGTTACAACTCTAAAATTTTAAACATAATTACTTACTTTAAATATACCCTTCTCCAGTTAGGCGTACAAGAAATTGATCATTACAAAAAGATAAGGCATAATTTTATTACTTTCAACATTTCTTTTTATCACAATGAAAATAAACTAAAGTAATACGTGGCTTTATAAAAATAAATTTTTATTAAAAGCAGTAGAGTCTGAGCAGGAGACAGTACAAAGAGTGTAAACAATGTAAACATCACTACATTCAGCTCAGCCTGATTGAATGCTGAAAGACAACTCTAAATGCTCTATGTGCCCTTACTAGCAAGATACATTAATTCTACTATACACAAAAAACACACTTTAATTTGATTAGGAAAAGTATTTCATCGAAGTCGGTCCCATCGCCAAATAGTTGAATCATCACAAACAGCTATGAGAATGCTGCTATCCCTGCTAAAACTGGTTTGTCGAATAGCAGTAACACATTTTTGATGAGTCAGTGTTGTACATCTAGGGAGAAAACACGACAGCAGGTTAAATATTATACATACATAATGTTGTCAATATCTAACTTAAAACAATAAACTAGAAAATTATAGCTGTCCCAACTCATATAGAAGGCATTTGAAAACAGAACACACTTTATTAAGAGCTCAGTCTCAAATTTTAAAATAATTGAGTATATTTTAAACTCGAGGCACCACATAACCTTTTTTTTATCAAAGTACTTATGAAAAACAATCATTAGGATAAAAAATATTTTAAAGTAGTCTAAGATATGTAGATGTTATAAATGATTTAAAGATGGCATTGTAAGTGTAAGTTACTTCCTCTGTATTTGGTGTAGCAAAAGACAAGATATGGAAGGTAAAAAAAGAGTGAGGGCATTATAGTATACTTTCTCTAATAGCTACAAGTTAATCTCTTATTTCTATTTCTATTTCTATTAAGGCTTGCCTGACGGTACTTTTATTTGTGCACTGATCTCTTTTTTAAAATTATATAGTATTTGGAAACAAGAAAAAAAATATGAAGGCAGAAATTATAAATAGGAATTTCTAAATACTTACTTGGCTTTATGAGGATCTTCTACTTCTAAATCCCAGACATAAAGTTTGCCAACCTGATTGCCCAATGCAAGCATCTATATAAATATATTAAAAACAACACCATCAAATTATTAAAATAAGCTTTAAAAATTTCAAGCAATCCTAAGACATCTTTCTTATTTTGGAAAAAACCTCAGCTCCAGCCTCTGACTGCTCTTGATTACTTTCTTGCATCTTATATTTCTAATTTGTAAGTGGGGCAACTAATACTTTACAGAGGTATCTTAAGTAAATAAGAAGGCATGTTGCAAACTTATTATGAGCTTTATAATTTACACTATAATACATGTACTCTTTATTCTATCTTTCTTAAAAGAACTGTAGCAAAAGCTATAGAAAGACCTTCCAAAAACTTTCATATAAATATTCAGATAACTCATCAACAAAATCCTAATACCAAACTTCTTTAAAAATTTAGGTAAATAGTATTTTGTCTCTAACTTTCATGTTCGTTTGTTAAGTTTTCCTGAGGTAAAGACACATAAAAACACTAATTTTAATCACCAAAACATTAAATTTTAGTAACAGATGTTGTAGAAAATAAACACATAAATACCACTACTGACATCTGTCAATTTCATTTACAAGTATTACAGATGGTGTTCAGAGCCAGAAGGATAGAATAAGTAATATCAAAGGCCAAAACAATTAATACAGGACATCAAGATAGAGCCTCAAAGAAAACTACAGATGCATAACAGAGAAAACTAAAATTACCACGGCTATAAGTAAAATAATTTCAAAATGTAAAAATTTTGCTACCTTTTGCCAGAAATCCATAGAAAATCTCATGTACCAAATGTCACACATGCTGTAATCAAATCGCCCAAGAATAGTCACATTAGACTCACTGGGCTTAATTTTGTCTATATCATCTTCCATTTTGCCAGGTTTCCAGCACACAATGGCGTTTTCACAAGACTTTAAAAGAGATGAGAAAAAAAAAATTTACTTGTAGAAATGAATTATAAATACTGAAACAAAACTTTTCTCTATTATCATTTTAGAACTGACAGCTCATAGAACCTGGTTATCCATCTACTAAGTAAGTGATATACAAATTCACCTCTTGATACATTACAATCCAGAGACTTGAAGTGTTTTATAGCAAAGGTAAAAATTACACTTAGTAGAATACATAGCTCTTCAATATGGCTCCTGTTTTTTACTTCACTAGTTTCATCTTTCCCTATCCAACTGGTTCCCTTTATCTGTTAACTATTAATCCTCATTTTGTGCTACATGGTAAGTGCTCAACAGATGTCATAGGAAAGCTAATGAATTCACAAAAAGGGATTTAGTGACCAGATTACTAGTATATGTAGAAGGCATAAAAGCAGTGGTTTACTTTTAAGATATTGATATGGGGATAGGATTGAAATAGGCTGTTATACCTTTCCTATTGTCTAACTTCAAATCTTTACACACATTCTACTTAAGCAACAAATGTAAACAATACAATGGAAAAATATCTGCAAATCAGTGGGCACTACTCATATTACTGTGTAGGTCTCTGGTTTGCCATTAAGGGACATCTGTCAATTTCTCTGGCCTCTTCTGAATACAGGTACTAAACACCATAAATTGTATTTCAACAGGTGTCATGACTGAAAATTACTGATGTAGATGAAGTTTCACAGGACACAGGCTACATAATCCCATGTGGCAACTCTGTGGGTGTGACCAGCATTGAAACACTTGAATGGCAGGGCCACAGCAAAATTAGGGTGGGGACAACATTCTTTTTTCCTTCTTTGCCTTTTTCATATTATATAAAATCCCAGGACTATTTATTTACAAATTCTTTACTGTAAAGTACCTAGGATATCACCTACTCTGAACGACTCTTCCCTAAGTGCACAATTGAGTTGATAGCCTGCAGTTTTCTTAATCATCCTGGCCCAGGCCTACTGAATCGGAATCTCTGGGATAGGAGGCTGAAACAGAAGTGTAAAATAGCTGTTCAAGTGCTTCTTACTGCCTACATTGATAAAAGATCCTAATGCAGTACCCTCATGGAAAACTAAAGCATAGGGAGGTAAAAAGAATCTATCCATGTTAATGGGTGGCTAAAGAGCTTTTTAAAATTACTTTCCTAAGTCTTTGCACCAGATTTACAATCTGTGGGGTAAGGTCTAGGAATCTATTTTCTCCCAATGATTCTGATGCAGAGCCAGATTTGAGACCACTAATATAGTTCATTCAGTTCAGCTTTCCATTTAAAATGCAGAAATCTTTCCCCACCATCTGATTAAATTCTAAGAGCAGAAATTTGACAGCCTTTTTACTTCCAAAATGACAGACTAGATATACTTTCCCTTATTTGCCCCACTACATACAACTTAAAAAAGTCTGAAAAGTAGAGAGGAGGCAGAATGATTAGATATCCTGGGACATGCAGGAAATTTAGCTCCCTGATCTCCCCCCTCTCCTCATTTATGTATCTCAGGCAAGATGCTGGAAAAGTCAGCAAATCAGCAATTTTAAGGGGTGTAGACAAACAAACAAAACAAAACAAAACAACTTCCCGCCCCCCAAAGCCTGCTCTCTACACAAGACCAGGAAATGGCAACCTAGCAAGAGAGAAAATTTTCAAACAAATTATCTAACTACAGCCAAATACAAAAAATACCCCACAAAAAACAAAAAACTGAAATCGTGGACCTGCCCCTGTATGGTCCAGCAAAATTCCAGTGGGAAACCTTTCCCAGGTGGTAACTAAGCATTTCAGCACATAATAACCTTGACTTGCTCTGTCCTTCATGATAATGAGGTAACTCTTCCTTCTCTCTGGCTGGGGTATCAGAGGACACCATCTGCAATGTCATTGGAGACCACCTGAGGAGCAGTAATGAGTCCCATCAGCCCCTTCCCCTAGGGTAGTGTCACCTGAGCTGCAGTGGAAAGCCTGAACTCCCATCCCAGCAATAATGAACACCATCACCAAATCAATCAAGTGGAGAACATAAACTTCCCTTGCTACCTGCCAATCATGAAGCAGTGCTCACCTTCCCCAGTTGAAAAATTATCAGAGGAAGCCTGATGAAGATCTACAAAAAGATCTGCAGGTTGTAACATAATACCCAAAATATCCAGATCTCAATCTCAGCGCTCTCCTTGGAGCATGCCCATGCCCTCTGTCAGACACCTACTTTTTTTAAGCTCCTGAGGTCCCCAGGGGAATTGCAATCAGAGGAACAGTGGACAGCAAAACCACTGAACCTGTCTTGTTCCCAAGGCCCCTTTTCTAATTTAGTGAGCCAATAGCAGCCCCACCTAAACTTTCCTGTTGCTGCTTCTACTCTAAATCCTTCCTTTTTATCCACTGTCCCCAGCTTTAATAAGTGTATTCTACAAATAAATAAATGAAACGTAGAAGTCTCAATGAGAAAACAGATGCCAACCCAGAGACGACATAGTGTTAGAACTATCTGACAAGCATTTTAAAGTAGCCATCATAAAAATGCTTCAATTCAAGAAGTGAATTTATGTTAAGATACATCATTGTCAAACTTATGGAAAAGAAATTTGTATTAAGATACATCATCGTCAAACTTATGGAAATTCAACACAAAGAAAAAAATCCTGACTGCATTTAAAACAGAAAGAACAATTCCAATGATGGTAGATTTCTCATCAGAAATCATGGAAACCAGAAAGAGCCACAAATATTATCAAATATTTAATAAAAGAACTGCAATACAAAACACTATATACAGTGACTATACATTTAAGGAATGAAGAGGAAATAAGGACATTCTCAGACTATGAAAAACGAAGATAATTTGTTACCAGAAGACCTACCCTAAAAGAATAGCTGCAGGAAGTTTTATGAACTGAAAGAAAATGATATTAAGAAAGGTTTTTGAGACATCAAACATTAAGAACAAAAGAAAATGCAAAATGAGTAAAAAATATTCACCATTCCCTATTGAATTTTTAAATTACATCTAATGGTTGAAGCAAAAACTGTAATATTATTTGATGTAGTTCTTCATTATAAAGAGAATATTTAAGACACAAGTGGAGGAAAAAGTGAAGTAAAGGAAAGGTTTCTAAACCTAACTTGAAGGGTAAAATGTTGATTTATAGTTAAGTAGACTGATATACAGGTTGACCCTTGAACAACAGAGGTTTGAATTGTGCAGGTCTATTGAAAAAAAGTTATTTTTGATCTGCAGGTGAGACTACATATGCAGAAGATCAATTGCAGTTACACACAGCTTTCTGACTTCACAGAGGTCAGCATCTTCTAAACCACCATGCTGTCCTAAGGTCAAATGTATGTATCACAGATATATCTATATATTACTTATATATATATATCAGGGCAAACCTCAAAAAAGTTAAAGAAATATACTAAAAAAAATACTACACTCCAAGACCATGTGGATTCTGACAACAGAGAGAATTTGACAGGACTACTCCAGCCATGAAGACAGAAGAGAAGCAGACCAGAAATGGAAGACGCTGACTCCTCCTTGCCATAATAGCAGTCAGCAGCTGTGCGTCACTGCAGGTTGCCCAGGACCAAACCAGAAAGGGTGGGACCTACATCACCACCTTTTGTCCACCATCTAGAACTGAAATATCATGCTGACATGTACACATAAGGAACTGTTTGACATTGAAATTGGGTCTCAAAAGAATTATTGGCCCAGAAAGAAACTCACTACAGACTGATTCATTTGCCTTTCAGCATAACCATTATTGCTTGTCTCATTTTCAGTACTTCTAAGTGTATTTCCAGTAGGACATGATCTCACTCATCTAGGGGAAATGATGAACAACATAGACTGATAAACAAGAACAGACCCAGAGACAAGGAGGCATAGATCAGACTGTGGGACCTCAGGGGACGGTGAGGATAAAATGGAGAGATCAACCAAAGGACTTGTATGCATATGTATGGGCCTAACCAGTGGTCAAGGACAACAGGGGAGGGTGGGTGCATGAGGTGGGATGGGAATGGGGGAATGAAGATAAATATATGATACCTTAATCAATAAAGAAATTTTAAAAAATACTACAGACAAAGTCTAAAATATGATCACACAACCTACAGGAATTAGGAGGGAAAAAAAACAAGATAAATTAAAAAGGCAGACTTAATGTAATAACTGATATATTAAGGCTCAAATATAAATGGTCTGAATATACCAACTAAAAGTTTGACAGCGTGGATTTAAAAAACATGACGCAAGTATATGCTGCCTGCAAAAAACTCCAGACATAATGATATATGTACATTAAAAGAAAAATTTGGAAAAGGATATACCATGCAAGCACTGATTAAAAAAAAAAAAATTTAAAAAAAGCAAAATTGACTAAATTACTCCCAAATAAAGGATAATTCAAAGCAAAGAAAATCACTAGAAAAGTACATTACATAATGATAAAAGGTCAAGCCTTTTATAAGACACAGAGCAAAGTGTCTTAAGCACCAACCAACAGAGCTGCAAGATATAGAGCTAAAAAGGAAAAAGCCACAATAACAACACTTATCTCTCAATAATAACATGGGTAGAAAAATCAACAAAGATATAAATTCAACCACATCATCAAACAGTAGGATCTAAACGATATTTACAGAACACTTCATCCAATAGCAGAATATATATTCTTTTCAAGCTCCCATGGGACATACCAAAAATAGGGTCATGAAACATTATCTGAAAAAATATAAAAGAATCAAAAAAAGAATGTGTTCTGACAGTGAAATCAAACTGGAAATAAACAGAAAGGTAACAAAAATGTCTCCCAATACCTAGTAACTAAACAACACACATCAGAATTTGTGAAATGCAGCTAAAGCGGTGCTGGTGGAAATTCATTGCACCAAATGCTTAATTAAAAAAGTCTTAAGTCAATAATCTCTCACCTTATGAAACTAATAAAAGTGCAAATTAAACCACAGCAAACAAAAGTTTTGTGTTTTTTGTTGTTTTATTTTTGTTTTTTTTTAATGATAAACCCCTAGCAGGACTGACAAAAAAAAAATGACCAATTTCAGGAATGAAACAGGCTATCACTAGAGACTTTAAAGATACCAAAAGGATAATCAAGGACTACTTCAAACAACTCCATACACATAAATTTTACATTAAATGAAATGGACCAATTCCTCAAACGGCAAAAATAACCACTAAAACTTAACTATTATGAAATAGCTAATTTTAATAGCCCTTTAACTATTAAGGAAATTAAATCTGTGTTTTAAAAATTCCCCATCAAAATTTTCTAGACCCAGGTGATTTAAGTGGAGAATTCTATCAATCATTTAAAGAATTAACACCAATCCCATATAATCTCTTCAAGAAAACAGTAGGCTAGACTTCCAATTAATTTTATGAAGCCAGTATTCTCGCTACCAAAACCCGACAAAAAACAGTATAAAAAAATAAAACTTCAGATCAGCATCCTACCTCATGAACACAGGCACAAAAATGTTTAACAAAATATTAGCAAAGAGAATTTGACAATTTATAATAAGCATGAGCAATTAAGCTTATTCCAGGAATACAAGGCTATATTAAGTCAACGACCAATCAATGCAATGTATTGCATTAACAGACTAAAGAAACCACATGATCATATCAATGGATGCAGAAAAAGCATTTAACAAAAGTCATCACCCATTCATGATAAAACTAAAAAAATCAGGAAAAGGGGACAGTTCTCAACTTGATTGAGAATATCTACAAAACTATACAGCTAATACACATAATTGTAAAAGATTAATTTTTTCTCCTTTCTATCAGAAATAAGTCAAGATATCTGCTCTTAACACTGTTAATCTACATAGTAATGGAAGTCTACCAGTGCAATACTGCAAGGAAAGGAAATAAAAAGCATCCAGATCAAAAAAGAAGATATAAAACTCCCTATTGGCAAATGACAAGATGGTCTATGCAGAAAATCCCAAGATATTAAGAAAAACATCCCTAGAGCTAATAGGTACAGGATTCAAAATTAATATGCAAAGATCAACTGTATTTCTACATACTAACAATGAACATATAGAAATTAGAAATACCATTTTCTATCACTCAAAAAAAAAGATAAATACATAAGTCTATATCTAACAAAGTGATATAGAACAAAAGATAATTAAGGTATTAATTCCCTGCCAAATTGACAGCAGACAGGTTTAACACAATTCTGAGCAAAATCCCCCCACCCCAACCCCTGCAAATAACCTCTGCAAGATTTTTTATAGGTGTAGACAAGAATCTAAAATGTATAGGAAAGGCAAAGCAACAGGATAACTAAAATAATTTTGAAATGAATAATATGTAAGAAATCACTCTACCCATTCCAAGACTTATTATAGAGCTAGAGTATTCAAAACTATATGTAGTTCTGGTAGAGTACTGGAACAAGAAAGAAAAACCAGGAACAGCCTCACACAAGTATGTTCAAACAATGTGACAAAGTTACAGAAGCAATTAAGAGAAGAATAGTCTTTCAATAAGTGGTGCTAAAACAATTGGAAACTTATAGGCAAAAAATAAACTACCTAAACCTTATACAAAAATTAACTTTAAAGGATCATATATTTAATATAAAGCTTTTTGAAGAAAACATGGGAGAAAATCTTTAGGATATATGGCTTGGTAAAGAGCACTTTAAAACACATCAAAAGCATGATCCATAAAGTAATTTTTAAAAAATCAACAAATTGAATTTCATGAAAATTAGAGACATTTGTTCTGCAAAAGACCTTGTTAAGAGGATGAAAAGACAAGCCACAACCTGTAAGAAAATATTTGCAAACTATACATCTGACACAAGGATTCATATTTAGAATATATTTAAGAATTCTCAAAACTCAACAGTAAAAATAAAAACAAAATCCAATCCAATTAGGAAATGAGCAAAGATATGAAGAGACATCATCAAAAAGGATATATTAGATGATAAATAAGCACATGAAAGATGTTCAACATCACTAGCCATCAGGGAAATGCAAATTAAGACCACGATGAGATATCACTACACTCCTATCAGAACAGCTAAAATAAAAAATAGTGACAATACCAAATCCTGGCGACGCTTCCGAGACACTCGATCTTTCATACATTTCTGGTGGGAATGAGAAATGGCACGGCCACTCTGGAAAATAGTTTGGCAGTTTCTTAAAAAACTAAACAAACTTAACCATGACCCAGCAATTGCCCTTCTAGGCATTTATCCCAGAGAAATGAAAACTTAAGTAAGTCCACACAAAACCTATACACGATTGTTCATTAGCAGCTTTATGTGTACTAGCCCAAATCTGGAAAGGACCAAAATGTCCTACAATAGATGAATGGCTAGATAAACTGGTACATTCCATACCATAGAATACTACTCAGCAATAAAAAGGGAGAAGTACTGACACACAACAACTTGGATGGCATTATAATGAATGAAAAAAAAAAAAATCTTAAAAGGCCCCATATTGTAACATTCTTACAATGACAAAATCACATGTGATAAAATGACAAACACACATTGTACAATATCAAGACTTTATATTGTATTATAGTTATGTAACTATTGGGGGAAATTGGGTGAAGGGGCCTCTCTGTACTATCTTTGAAACTTCCTGTGAATCTAACTTCAAGATCAAAAGTTTAAATAAGGGGGGGAAGAAAAAAAAAGAAAAAAAAAAGATAAAACTAGCTGTAAATCAAGAAAAAAATAGATTAGGCTCTGCCAAGAAACTGTGAAATGCCCTGAAATCCACACAAGAAATTAAACAATCCCATATGTTCAGATGACATCACCAACAACTTCTCTAAATTATCAGCATCAACTTGCTACATATATATACATCAACTAGCTAGAGAAGGGGTTGGCAAACTACAGCCCATGAGCCAACTCCAGCTGCCTGTTTTTGTTAAATGTAAAAGTGTATTGAAATGGACACAAACATAAAAAAACCTACTACTAGCTTTAGATATTGATTACTTTACAATAACACTGATTATCACAACAATATCATCTTACAAATGAAATTTTTTCATTTTATTGAAGCACAAATTATAATAATTCATTGGAATGTCTTATGTCTAAAACAAGTTTCCAAACCTATCAAAATACCATGAAACTAAAAAAAAAAAAAAAAAAAAAAAAAAAAAAAAAGAAGCAATTTCCCAATCTGCCATCCAATTTACCAAACTGCATAAAAAACCGTGATCCCTAAAAATATAATCCAACTCACATAAACAATGGAAGTACAGCTTAACAGCAGTTACCATACCTTGGAAAGTATCAAATCACCTAACCATCGCACACAATCAACATAATTCCTATGTATGTCTCTGGTAGAAAAGTCAGGAAAGTGAATTTTCTGAGAAATAAATGGCCTGGAATGAAAATGTAAAAGTTAAGAGAAAAAAGTATAGTAGAATCACACTAATTTTTATTTTTGGATTTATAAACTTTGAAAAATAAAATGCATGATGATTTTTCTTTGATCCTAGAAAACTTATCTTTTTATTGAGAGCTACCATCCACTCCATTTTTGTTTCTATATTTTCTTCATTATCAGCTTCATTCAATTTTGTTTTTATCATATAAAATTTCATTTATAAAAATTGTATACTATGTATCATAGGCCAAATTTAATCAATTCTGGCTATCCTAACCGTGATAAGCATATCTTGATTTATAGACCTAAAAGAATTTTTAGAGAAAATACATACTCAATCCTTTAAAATTAGACTATGAGTCCTAGCTGGTTTGACTCGGTGGATAAAGCGTCAGCATGTGGACCAAAGGGTCCCGGGTTGGATTCCGGTCAAGGGCTCCTACCTTGGTTACAGGCTCCTTGGGCCCTGGCTCTAGTCAGGGCTTGTTTAGGAGGCAACCAATCAATGTGTTTCTCTCTGTCTTTCCCTCTCTCTTCCACTCAATGGAAAAATATCCTTGGATGAGGATTAACAACAAAAATAAATTAAATTAAGACTATGGAAATCAACACATCTGGGTTATTTTAATAGATGGTCATTTTATTGGAGCTGATTTGGCTCAGTGAATAGAGCATTGGCATGCAGACTGAAGGGTCCCAGGTTTGATTACAGTTAAGGTTGCATGCCTGGGTTGTGGGCTTGATCCCCAGCGGGGGGGGGGGGGGGGGGGGGGGAGGCGGGGGGCAGCCCTCTCATCACTGATGTTTCTATCTCTCTCCCTTCCTCTCCGAAATCAATAAAAATAAATTTTAAAAAGATGGTTCTTTTCATTCCAAAGGCTGCTAAAGTTAAAATTACATGAGAGTACTGCCTTGAGCAACAATTTTGAAAATGATGTCTGACAGGAATTTGACATATATTAATTAGGACTTTTCTTGTATTAAAGAAAGTAAAATAGGTAGCATTTCCCCCTATCCCTCTTAAAAATGTTTGTGTAAAGACCATAAGCTAAAAGTTGTTACCAATCCTACAGTTAATTAAAAGTAAACCTAACGTTTCTAATTTAGTGAGTGATTCACTTTCTGTACTGAAATAACTGTAGAAGTTTGATATGCCATGAATTAGTTATGTCTTGGGCAAGTCACAAATCCTCTCTTTACTTTTCCCACAAGGATGCTGGGCTGAATCATTTCTAATATTCCTTCCAATACAAATTATGGATCTTTTATTAGCCCTGGCTGGTGTGGCTCAATTGGATGGGTGTCATCCTGTGCATTGAAAGGTCCCTGGTTTGATTCCCAATCAGGGCACATGCCTGGGTTTCAGGATAGATCCCCAGTTGTGTGTGAGGTGGTGGGTGTGTGCTGGAGGCAGCTAATCAATGTTTTGCTCTCACATCATTGACATTTTCTTTCTCTCCCTCTTCCTTCCTCTCTAAAAATAAATACAAAAATCTTTTAAAAATTAAAATGTTATTAATGATCTGATATAAATTCTTAACTCTGCTATAATTATGTTATTTGCTTTTTAAAAAAATATTTTTATTGATTTCAGAGAGAGAAGGGAGGAGGAAAGTGATAGAAACATCAGTGATGAAAGAGAATCATTGATTGGCTGCCTTCTGCAAGTCCCATACTGGGGATTGAGCCTGCAACCTGGGTATATGTCCTGACCAGGAATTGAACCGTGACCTCCCGATTAATGCTAAGCCACTGAGCCACATGGGTCAGCTATTATTTGCTTTTAAATCAAATACATATTATAATCTACTAGAGGCCCAATGCATGAAAATTCATGCACTGGAAGGGGGTCCCTCAGCCTGGCCTGCCCCCTCTCTCACAATCCAGGAGCCCTCAGGGGCAGGAGGCGACTGGGCAATCAGGGGAAGGCAACACTCCGTCACACCTCTGCTGCTGCCACTGCAGCGCAATCCTCAGCAGGCCCTGGTTACCTGTGCCTCAGGCCAGTCCTGGGCACCACAGTCTTTGAGGGCATGGTAGTCAATTAGCATATTCCCTCCTTATTGGCTGTAGGTGCCACCATCTTTGTGACAGTGTGAGGGTCAATTAGCATATTCCATCTTTATTATATAGGATTGTTAAACCTTTCAAGTAGAAGACCAGCATAACCCCCTCCTGTTTTTGTAAACAGGGAAATATAATTTCTATGTATTCCAGAGCTCCTTAAAACATAAATTTAGGATTGTATAAGCTTTTGATATTTTAAAGTAGAAATCTGAAAGTTGTACTAATCATTAGAGGCCACTGAGGTTTGACGAATATAAGTGCATTAAAATATCTACTGATGGCTACAAATTTAATAGTCTAGCTCAATAATCAGAAAATTCTAGCTCTTTACTTAAAACAAAAAGTGCAAATAAAGTTAATATGGTGAAAGTGTTAATAATAATAATAATAATTGCCTAAATAAGATTCTGAAAAAACAGTTACTGAATCAAGGCATTTAAAAAATATATGAAGTATATTGCAAAGTTCCCACCTCTTAGTCCCAGCAAGGCTCCCACTTTTGAAATTTCTCCACTTAATGAAATGAGTAGCAATTAAATGGAAGCATTAATTAACATGAATTAAATAAAGCTAAGAACCCCATTTTAAAAACAAAATTTACTATACTGAATTAAAATTTACATTGAACAAAACTAAGTAAAATGTGCTAAGTTAGAGAAAACACAATTTAAAGGCAATTTAAAAAAATGAAACATAAATATATTAGATTAAAAATAATGCTTCCATTAAAAATTTATGAATTTTATGATACATAAAGTTCTTAAAAAAGGGCCTTCTAAACCTAGTGGGGACTTATAATAATATAACAATTTTGGAAAAAGAAAGACCCATCTGTTTCACAACATGAGATACTTGTTTTAAATGCCACAAATGTTACCTGTTAGTTTTATTTGGGTTATAATCATAAGAGTCCTTAATTGCATTAATCATTCTCTTTGAATTAATCCTCCAGAGTTTAAGAGAGTGATCCATACCACAGGACATTATTTTTTCACCCAAAAGATCATAATCCTGTATATAAAACAAAAGAGCTTATGTTAAATATTTAATTTTTCCAAACTATACTATTCAATTTTCACCTATGTACAGTATTGTGAAAACTTTCAAACCATAACACTAACATTTTGGGTTTTGTGTATGTAGGAAATAAAAGTTTTTATTGCTCTCAAAATTTAGTTTTAAGTTGTCACCACCATAGTAGCATAAAAGCTAAGGAAGACCAAAAATAGTGTTTAAATTTCATTTTATCTTTCAATGAACTTTAACGTATTTTCTTTGCTTGATTTTGAAGATAAACTTGACGAGCCCTGGCCAGTTTGCTCAATGGTTAGAGTATCAGCCCTCAGACCTAAGGGCTTGGGCTCTATTCTTGGACAAGGGCATAAAGTTCTTAAAAGAACGGTTGCAGCCTCGATCCCCCGCCACTCAGTCTGAGTGGGTGTTGTAGGCAACCAGACAATGTCTCTTTCTTACATTGATGTTTCTCTCTCCCCACTCCACCCCCTTCCTCCCTTCTTTCCACTCTAAGGGGGAGAAAATCACTGGAAAAAATATCCTATGGTGAGGATTAAAAATGAATTTGAATACTGAGGTATAACATAAAACCTGAATAGTTATATTACATTTCTTTGCTCAACCCTAATCAAGCAATGAAACTGACACCTGTATGTGCAGCTACTAAACAACTAAAATTTTATCTGTATTATAAGTCAAAATCTTCAATTACATTGGTCTTAAGTTCTTTTTAAATGAATCTTTAAAACTGCCTAAAAAAGGGAAATAATGTAAGTTTATCATTTGCTGTTTGCTAATACTGTTTTTTGTAAACTGGGAAATATAATTTTTATGTATTAATAGGCATTTAACAGATACCAATTGTAACTACCTTATTTCATGGATAAGACACTGTGGCACATGAATGCTACTTAATTTAGCACATGCGTTAATGATAATGTCACATATTAATTCTTTTAACAGTGAACTCCTGTATTATAGAGAAGAAATACAGACTGTCACCTGTTCTCATTTTAAGAAATAACAGTAGATGGTGATGGACACACAATACAATATACAGATGATGTATTATAGAATTGTATAACTAAAACCTATAAAATTTTATTAACCGATGTCACCCCAATAAATTCTATTTTAAAAATAAATACTCCCATTTAAAAAAAAAATAACAATAAGGAGTTCTATTTAAGGAAAACATTTTCCTTACTCACCTAGATAGTACATGTTAATCCAACCTCTGAATTAATTTTGAATACTAATTCACAAGAGCTTAGGAACTTTAGGTTTGTTGCTTATTGAATTCACCAGTCTGGTGAACAGCAGCAAGGCACTCACTATTCATGCCAATAGCTCTCATTTAGAATTCTTAATAAAGAATGGTAATCTTGGATCTTTCACACATAAAGCCAAATGGAGACTGGTACTGCAACTACTAGAAAATCCAAGTTGGCAGGGCCTGATTCTCACAAAAGCACACAAACGTCAACCATAGGAATATTTAATACCTCCAATTAAAATGCTACATGATTCAAAATCAGCTGCCCTAGGTAGTTTGGCTCAGTGGACAGCCTGAGGATTGAAAGGTCCCGGATTTGAGTCCAGTCAAGAGCATACGCCTGGATTGTGGGCTCGATCCCCAGTGGTGTGCAGGAGGCAGTAAAGATTCTCTCTCATCACTGATGTTTCAATCTCTCTCCCTTTCCCTTCCTTTCTGAAATCAATACAATTAAAAAAACACACACAAAAAAACACACACACAACATGGTGTCCCTTTACATACTTTAACGAATAAGAACTAAATAGCTGTAAAACTAAGCAAGCTATGAATGAAACATAAGTAAAGCTAAATTAATGTAAAAATGTGAAACCTAAAATACTTACATTATAAAAGATCAATAAATCTCTCTATATAAAAGCCTAAGCAACCGGCCAGCTGGCCAGTAGGTATGACAGGCACTGACCATCAGGAAACAGATGCTCAACAGAGGAGCAGAAACCACTGGCCAGGCCGAGGGACCCCACTGGTGCATGAATCCAGGCACTAAGCATCTAGTTATAATATAAAGATAACACTGTGCCATCAGAGAGAAAGTTATCCAAAATTCAGTCAGTACACAACAAAACACTCCTAAAAATGAACAACTTAATATTTCAACTGCAAATAAAACATAGTTTCTTAATTTCCTAACTAATCATTTTTGTTTGTGTGGAGTTTTTTTTAAGAGATATAGTCTCACTATGTTGCCCAGGCTGGAGTGTAGTGACTATTCACAGGTGCGACCCCACTACTGATCAGCATGGGAGCTTTGATCTGCTCCATTTCCAACCTGGGACCATTTATCCCTCATCCCTCCTTAGACAACCTGGGGTCCCCAGCTCCCAGGAGGTCACTATACTGATGCCGAACTTACGGTTGTCAGCTGATCGGCATAGTGCACTACAGCCCAGAACTCCTGGGCTCAAGCAATCCTCCTTCCTCAGCTGGTACTACAGGCATGTAGCTCCGTGACCAGCAATTGCTAACTAGTTTAATCTTTTCCTTTAATAACTGAGAAACAGCAAAGCAAAACAACTTAGTGATGTTTTTGATCAATATAGGAAAAAAACAAGTTCATAGTATTCTTTCATGTGCATGAGAACAGATTAAATACAAGGAGCCTTTCTTGCTTTATTCCTTCATTTATAAGATAAAAACCGTGCATATCACAAGTAAATGAAATGATTGCCTGCCAGGCTACATGAAAAAAACAAACAAACAAAAATATATGTTTTTATGAAAGGAAAGAGTTTGATGGGGATTGTTCACAATCATGTGCATCTGAAAGTCACTGCCCTGCAGCTTTAAACTTACAGCACTTAGAACTTCATCCCTGTGCCCTTCGACACCTCCAAATATTGCCACCAGAGTGTCAGTTTGGATATTCCATAATCGTAAAGCATGATCTAGTATGGAAATAAAAAAGAATTTAAGATGAATTTTTATCACTCATTTACTGTGAATGTTCAAATTTGACAAGAGTTTTACATTATGCCATAGAACAAAATATTAGCTCTGCCCTCCACCATATCCATTTATAAGAGGAATGAGTAGCTGGTTTGTTCAGTGATTAGAGCGCAGGCCCTCAGACTGAAGGGTCAAGGGCACGTACCTTGGTTGTAGATTCCCCAGACCTGGTAGGGGCCAGTGTGGGAGGCAGGCAATCATGTCTCTCTCATGCTAATGCCTGCCCCCCCAATCTCTCCCCACCCTTCTCCCTTCATTGCATTCTTTCTAGAAATCAATGGAAAAAGATATCCTCAGGTGAAGATTAAAAAAAAAAAAAAAAAAGTGTATGTATATATAACGCAAAAAGAATAGGAAAAAATGACTGAATAGAATTATTTTTGGAATGTTTTTATTGATTTTAAAGAGAAAGGAAAAGGGAGAGAGGAAAAGGAAGAGAGAAAAACTTTGATCAGTTGCCTCTTGCATTCACCCAACTGGGGAACTGAACCTGAAACCTGGGCATATACTCTGACCAGAAATTGGTTGGAGCATTGCATTGAAGGATCTAAGGTTCAATTTCCAGTCAGGGCACATATCCAGATTTCTAAGTATGTGGGTTGAGGGAGAGTTCAGGAAGCAAACAGATCTATGTTTCTCTCTCACATTGATGTTTCACTCTCTCTTTTCCTTTCCATTCTCTCTAAAATTAATGGAAGAGACATATTCTCGGATTTAAAAAAAATTTAAAAAATAATAATTTCTTTCTCTTACCTTTACTTACTGACAGGAGAAGATTTGGGTCTCTTGGGTGGACTTTCAGCTCATTGATAGCATTTCCATGCCCAACGTAGTGCTACAATAAATTTAAAACATATCAACTTTCATATAAAGTAACAAATTCTATTGTAAAATATTTAATCTGTGAATAAATGTTTGCTAAGAAAAATAAATTATTTTTCATTAATTTTAAGAGAATGAAAAACTCATTTCACTTAAAGTAGTGGTTATCAACATTGTCTTTAGATTAAAACTATCCAACAAAGAAAAAATGCATACAAAAATAAAATCACCCAACCAATTTGAAGGGAAAAAAATAAAAGATGCTAAAGTCCCACCTGATGATAATCTGATTTGACTGGAATAGCAGAGGCAAAGCAAAGATGGAAAAGATCCTCATGTGGTTCTATTGTGCTCTCAGAGTTTAAAACTTCTAACTAAATTGATTTGCAAAACTTAATATCAACTTTCAAGGTTTCAACCCTAGTGAGGGTGTGTGAGAATGGACTTACTCTTTTGTTATTGTTCATTCAGAGTCTCTCAGAATAAGGCGGAGGTAGAAGAAAAGAAAATATTGTAAATAAAAAATTTTTCCCACTCATTACTTAATTTGCATTACCCAACTGTAACAAAGGTTCCAAGAGACCCGACTAAAGGATGAAGTAAGCAGAATACACATCAAAATAGAAATTGTAGACAGTGATTCCTTTAGTTTTAAATTTGACATGACAAATTCTCACAAGTGTTTATTCAAAAGGAAGCAAATCTACAATTTAACAAAAACGCCCACCTTTATGCACTGCATTGTTATGGGGTTAATTATCCTGATTATGCCTCTAGATCCAGCCACAGCCAGCAGAGGATGGCTTGTATTGCTATCGTATGTCCAGGCACAAGTGTAAAAGTTTTCATCCGCCTACAAATGCCGGTTAAGAAAAGTAATTTGTTCTTGAAAAATACATACATAAACGATTATATGTGGAAATCTTCAAAGACCTGCTAAAGTTTTTGACACAGAAGTTATTATTATTCTATCACCAGATTTAAACAATGGAGATTTTTAGGTCCAAAATCTATATAAAATCAGTCCTTCACTAAATTTTGATTACTACTATTTAGCTATTTGTATAACTTAACTCTGTGTTTGAAAGCAGCCAGACAATAAGTAAAGGATGTTATGGCTGTGTCCAAATAAAACTTTATTTACAAAACAGGTGGGTGGACCATTACCTAATAAAAAAAAAGCAAAAGCAAACAGATGGCCAGCCCCAGGGACTGTACTTTGCAGACTCTTGCTCTATTCCAATACTTCCATGTGCCTCTAAAAATGACCTTTTTTTTAAATTATCTATTTTTAATAAACCTTTATTGTTCATATTATTACAAAAGTTCCTCATTTTTTTCCCCTCCACCAGGTTCCTACCCCACCCTCTGCCCTTTCCTCACCCCTTGTCCTCATCCATAGGTGCAGTTTATGTTTAGTCTCTTTCAGCACCCCCCACTCCTCTTTTCCCTGAGAATCATCAGTCCACTCCCCTTCCATACCTCTGATTCCATTACTTTCAAGTTAATATTGTTCATCAGGTTTTTTAATTCCCTTGTTTTTTTGTTTGTTTGTTTTATTGGCTTCCAAAGGGAAGTTTAAGGTCAAAAGGAATTTCGGGTATGCCCAGATCCTATCCATCAAAATCTGGGTAAGCTCCTTATTCTTTGGTACAAGATTTAGCATATCGAGACCTGGGTGGGTCCAGGTCCTATTTGTTCCTCATTCCAAGCACATGGATTAAGAAATCAGTACTGATAAGAGGATTCTGCGCGAGCCCTCGGTCTCAGCTGATAAGAATTAAAAGAATGTTCACGTGCCTTCTCAGGCGGCTCTCTACATCTCACCCTTTTTTACTAATTTAAAAATGACTTATTATTCATTTTTTCTCTTTTCCCTGTGTGAGACTTTCCAATATGGTTACAGATCACTTCTTTCCATACCATCTAGGGAAGGCTGGAAAGTCCTTGTCTTTTTTTGTTTGCTAGGTTTTTCAAATGGTTCAAGAAGAAAAATCCTATCACCAAGCTTTTCTATCCCTTTGGGTTTTTAAGTCTTTTATCTTTATGAACCCATGTTTTGAAATATTTTATTTCCTAAACAAACTGGATATGTGTTTTTCCCTATAGGCTTTATTGAACAAATATTTAGCATGATTTCCAGTCTTAGCTTCTAATCAACTCAAGTTCATCAGTATAACTACTTTAAAATGATAAAATTCTAGGTAAGGTAAAAAACAAAAGACAGGAGGTTTTTCCTCTTCTAATTTTCTATTACCGATTTCCAATAAACATCTCCATTCACCTGTACCATCCTCTCTCATATCCATCCTACAATGGATTTCTAGGGACCAGAAAAACTAGATAACTAGGTACCAGAAATCTCTTGGGTTACAGTGAAGGAATAGCACTGGTTAAGGTTAAGAAAGAACAATATAACTTTGTGGAACTAATTAATTTAGAAAAATTTCAGTGTACTTATAAAAGTCAATTCCTTTTAGCCAAAGATATTGAAAACTGAGAAAAGGATACATCAGCATCCACATAGGATTGCAATAGTCGGATTTCTCCTTGTGAGTGACATTCATATAAAGTAACCTAAGGAAAACAAAATATAGTAAATTTTACCTCAAATATAGAAACACATGCTTTTAAGCTTTTAAACATATTTTAGTCACAACTTAAAATAAAATATTACAGAAACTATTGCTTTAAAATAGTTCCTTTAATTTGAGGAAGCCATTATATTTACAGTATTACATAATTTCCAGAATATATTGAATATTGTAATACTAACTTGCTTATCAAGTTAATTTTGATTGAAAACAGAATAACACTAAAAACAGAAAACACTGTCAACAAATGTCACTCCAATAAATTCAATTAAAAACCACACAGAAAACAATATAGGTGTATATAGGTATATGTGAAAATCATTTCCACCTTTGTGTCCTTCCATGCTATAACTTTTGGTCCTTAGTAAGCATATGAAAGCCTTACAGTTAATGATAACATGTTCCCTAAAATGTAACCATAATATTTTTGTTAGTAATGGCCAGGATGAATATCAAATTGGTGATAGCATTGACCACCAAGAAGTATGGGCCCTGGCACTCTGATTCTTTGACCCTCTGTCTTGTCAATCAATAATATCTGGGCTGTCTTATAAAAATAGTACAGAAACAGGAGCCTCTGGTGGAGAATTTGTGCAAAACTACTAGGCAGTTTGCTGGCTCAGAACCAGTCATCCCATAAGTAAATTACCCTAGTTTCAGAGTACTAATGAAAGACAATTTCTTTTTCTTTTTTTAATTTCTTTATTGATTATGGTATCACATAATTGTCCTCATACCCCCATTCCCACCCCAATGAAAGACAATTTCTTTAGCCAAATATATTGAAAACTCAGGAAAGGATACATCAGCCTCCACATAGGATAGCAATAACCAGATTTCAATATAATTTGTTATATTCTGCTAATTCTCCTTCCTCTTTTGGTCTGAAGATTCCTTCTCGTGATGGTGGCCATTAGATAGTAAGAAACTGCATTAAAAATGCACTAAAGAGCTCCACCTGGTTTGGTTCAGTGGATAGAGCATTGGCCTACGGACTGAAGAGTCCCAGGTTTGATTCTGGCTAAGGGCACATACCCAGGTTGCAGGCTCAATCCCCAGTTGAGTGTGTGCAGGAGGCAGCTGATCAATGTTTCTATCTCTCTCTCTCCCTTCCTCTCTAAAATCAATTATAAAATATATATTTTTAAATGCACCACAGACAACAGAAACTGTGCATTAAAAATCACGTTCCTTTATTTCTTTAAGAAGTTTATCACAATTACTTAAACATAAAATTTTTATTTTACTCAACTAAAATAACTTATGGAACATTTTTCAGATTCACCTCATTTCCCTTCTTGAGTTGAAGGCAGTGGAAGTGGCTTGTATTTGTTTTCAACCCATATCCAATTAGTCTATTTCCTCCACCTTTATTTTTTAAATACACTAATCTATTTCTATATTAGTCCTCCTAACTTCTACTATAGTATTAATGAATACCCAGAATGTTACCTAATAAAGATAGGAGAACAAATTTCCCTGAAGTGATTCCAATTTAATAGAAAAATTCCAGAAACTCTCTAGAAAGCACTAGGGAATTTTCTTGTTCTCCATTTACTTAGATGCAAATAAAATGAATGAATAAATCTTTATAATTCCCATGTTCAGTCCCTGGTTCAACTAAAAAATTAAATAATGGTTTATATCAAGCATGTCAAATTCGCATTTGGCCCGCTGGCCATGAGTTTGACATGCTTGGTTTACATTAAAAACATGCCCAGCATGATTTTTTTCTCAATTTCAAGATATTATTGGTCTCCTTAAGTAAAAACATTTATTATAAATAATTAAAATATTTTCAGTAACTATGCTTTACCTTTATAAGAGGCGTTAATTACATTCATTTTTTAAGAAATCAGAGACTTGCCCCAGCTGGTTTGACTCAGTGAATAGAACATCAGCCTGTGGACTGAAGGGTCCCTGGTTCAATTCCAATCAAGGGCACATGCCCAGATTGCAGACTTGATCTGGATCAATCAATGATTCTCTCTTATCATTGATGTTTCTATCTCTCTCTCCCGCTCCCTTCCTCTCTGAAATCAATAAAAATATATTTTAAAAAAGAGATTTCTTATCCAATTAGAATGATAAACTGTTACAGTCACTTCCAAAAGATTAATTCTTTCAATCACTCAAAACAGATCATTAAGACAAACTATAAACAGAAACCTGTTGTGTGAACAATTTTGAGTAGTATCATTATCATAATAAAAGGTTAATATGCAAATGGTCACCACGAAGAGAGGCTGTAATGACTGATTAGCTGCATGGCATCATGCTGGGGGACCTGAGGCCGTGTCCCCTGACCCAGTGGGGTTTGACAGGGGACCCTCTCCGCCTGGCAGGACTTGACGGGAACAGGGCCAGCCGGGTCTGGGTTTCGTCTGATTTCAAGACGTGTGCACGGGTGGGTGGACTTGACTCTGGGTCTCGCAGCGCACCCCAGACTCTAACAGGAGGTAGATTTTCATATACGTTTTACTAATTTTCTTTCATCTCTGACACTTCTATTATAAAGGGCAAATAGCAATATCAAAGTATTTCCTCTAATTAATTCCCTTTTCAAGTTCATTAATTTCGTGCACTAGGCCACTAGTATGAAATAAAGATGTATTTTCAGTCATGAATACTAGCTTTAATGAGACAATTTCTAGAATGCTTCATGTTCACACAAAGGAATAATAATGCCAAACTGGCTACACAAAATTTACCTCAAAATCATTACACTTATTATATTAATACCAGAATCTAATCATCAAACCAAATGCCAGATTCTTAACACTTACTCTGTTGCTTCCTACAGTTGCAAACACTAGTGGGTCTCCTTCTTTACTGTGCCAGTTAAACTGAACTCCAAACAATGGCTGTTTATGATCTTCCTATAAAATAATCATGAAATAATAAAAATTAATATATTTTAGAAATAAAAAAATTGTAGTAGACTGACCATCCTCCTTATAACTTTTTTTGAAAATGATAGTCACTATTTTGAAATAGCCCACATAAACTGACTTTTGACTCTAAAAAGATATGTACTTGTCCAGTTTTCACATTTTTATGACATTTTTATGATAACCAAATACTTAAGTCAGAAGTTAGTTAACAAGCACTTACTTATGAAAATACTTTTATATTTGCCTTCTATGTTCTCACACCCAACCATGGTTTTCTGAATCAAAACAAAACTGGGTAATTATGGCAGATGCATTCATTTCTCAGGACATAAGGACAAAATTTATTTTTCTGCAATTGGGAAACTAACAAATGACCTAAGTAAACTAAGAGTGGCTTAACACTAGCTAAGCTTTATTAAGTTTAATTTTTCCCTTGTAAACTGAAGCACACCAGACTCCACCCAAATCAGTTTTCTATTAGTGCAATAGAGACAATTTTAAATAACCTTAATTTAGGTCCTGAAAGAAAAACATCCCAAGTTTTATAATAAACAAGTATGGTAATTGTACAATAGGGGACAGGGGAAGCCATGGACTATACCTTTAGTTGCTAGTAGGCTGGTTATAAGGACGTATATAAAAAACAAGTGTTCACAAAGTTATTTTCAGGATTTTACTGGCAATCTCTTGGCATTTAACATTAATTTTCATATTCACTTCAAAGGACTGTTTTCATTTTTAAAGTCTAACAACTTTTATTTTTTACCCTTAAAAAGCCATAGATTTAATGCTTTGAAATATTTAATCGAAATATTTAACTGACAGTTAAAGCAAACCTCTAGACATACTATCTAAAAATAGGTTGATATAAGTGAATATTAATACGAAACTAATGGGCACTTTTGCTTTTTAAAAATATATATAACCAAGCCCTATCTGGTTTAGCTCAATGGATAATCAGCCTGCGGACTGAAAGGTCCCAGAGGTTTGATTCCAGCCAACAGCACATGCCTGGGTTGCAGGCTGGATCCCCAGTAGGGGGCGTGCAAGAGGCAGCCAATCAATCATCTCATCACTGATGTTTCTCTCTCCCCCTTCCCTTCCTCTCTAAAATTAATAAAAAATATTTTTAAAATAAATAAAAAATATATAACCAAGATTAATCTCTCTCTTTTAAGAGTAGAATATGACATACACGAACAAAGAATTTTGCTAGAGACAGGAAAATAATTTCCATATAGCCATAGTCGCTTATGCTTTCTGAAGACTTTACCTGAAATACATATTTAGAAAAGATTCTTTCATATACATATAAGACACAGTAATGCATATTTCTGCTCAGTGAAGGAATACGCCCCCAAATTTAAACCAATAATGAATACATGTAAAGAAAGTACAATTGAAGAAGTTACTTATAAATAACCTCAACCACTTGTTTTGCACATAATCAAAATTTTTTTAATTTATACCCTTTTCTATGAAAACAGTTACAAACAAAACAACAGATAAGAGTTCAATAAAGAAAAACTAGCTTGCGGTACTAGGTTAAGACAAAACAAAAAGCTACATGAAAGTAGAGTGAAAAACAAAATTTCAAAAAGTACTGTAATTTAATTTTGCAGCTTAGCATTCAACTAACAGGATTTGTCTTTCTGCACATACCTTGAGACTATTTACACATTTGAAAGAATATTTGCACTTCTTTGACTTCCATTTTCCCTTCCCCCAGCTTTTCCTTCCAGGTGCATTTGGTGTATTTGTAGGTGTATCAGGGCGTTCAGTGTTTGTTCCACTTTCTATACTGACAGTATCATCCTGTAAGCAGTAAGTTAGAAAAAATTACATAAAACAGTAATATGCTTAGGCAGCAAATGACTTTTTACTAGGCAGCTACTAAATGACCTAAAAGAAATAATAAATTCTGTAAGTAATGGAACATTTTATTCCTATCTCCAAAGGATAAAAAGTAAACCAGCTACACATTAGAACTTGTCCATATTTTATATTTCAGCAAAAATATAAATTAAAAAAAGCTAATTAGAAAAACAGTACTAATGCTGTGTTTAAATAACACAATGGTCTCCCCCACAGAAAGTAGTTAGATAAAAAGTGTAAGAGAGCCGAAACCGGTTTGGCTCAATGGATAGGGCATCGGACTGCGGACTGAAAGATCCCGGGTTCGATTCCGGTCAAGAGCATGTACCTTCATTGCGGGCACATCCCCAGCAGGGGGTGTGCAAGAGGCAGCTGATCGATGATTCTCTCTCATCGATGTTTCTAACTCTCTATCCCTCTCTCTTCCTCTCTGTAAAAAAATCAATAAAATATATATTTAAAAAAAAGTGTAAGAGGGACTAAGTAGAGTAGCATATAAAAAATAAAAATAGAGAACTAAATTTAAAAGAAAACAAACAAACAAACAAAAAGTTTAAGTAGTCTTTTGCATATTAGGGTTGCTAAAATTCACAACCAAATCTCTGACTCCTAAATCTGACTTAACGCCCTAGCCCAAGCATATCAAACTCATGGCCCATGGACAGCATGCCTCGTTTATTTGGCCTATGTTAGTAGCCTTTTGAGTTTGACATGCTTGCCATAGCTGGTTTGGCTCAGAGGATAGTCAGCCCTTAGGCCGAAAAGTCCTGAGTTTGATTTCCATCAAGGGCATGTACCTAAGTTGCAGGTTCAATCCCTGGCCCAGGTCAGGGTGTGTGTGGGAGACAACCAATGAGTCTCTTTTACATGGATATTTCTCTGTCTCTCCTCCTCCCTGCAAGTCTCTAGAAGAAGTCCTACTATTCTGTACAACTGAAATTTGACTCATAGCTCTAAAATAATGATACTCATAAATACTGGGTGGGGCAAAGTTGGTTTACAGTTGTTCATATGGAAAATAATATAATAACTAATGAATATAATAAAGTGTTGCATTAACTGACAACTCTTGCCCTACCCTGTATGTTAGAGTTCCAGATACTCTATATAAAGTATTAGTAAGTCCCTTTCAAAGTAGAAATGGCAGCAGAAAACCTTGAAAGTCCACCTAATTTTTACCTAATCTCCAGTCTACAAGATATATTAATGGCCCTCTAATCTCAGAAGAGGATTTTACCTCCTTTGATTACATATTACAATGTGTCCTTAGAAACAGAGATTTATTTAAATCTGTAACATTAGGGCAGTGGTTAACTACATTCTAGAGAAAGCCTTTTTTCTTGGAGTGCCTATTAACATTTATGAGAATGCAGTCTAGGAATCACTGCCTTAGGGGCTGTTTCTAAGTTACGGCTTCCTAAAGCTAACTTTATATTATAAAGGTTAAATTTAACTAGAGAACAAAAAGTATATTAAAAATGCACTTAATGGGGGAGGGGGAAGATGGGAACGGGCTGAAAGAGGTTAATAGGGGAAAAAGGAGAACCTATGTCATACTTTCAGCAATAAAGATTTAGAAATTTTTAAAAAGTAGTTTTGGGGGGTGGCTTTCAAAGCTGTAAATGGTTCTTATCAAAATGACATGCTTAAAAAAACATGAATTGTAACTTAATGTAATGTAAACATAATCTGCCTTTAAAAAGATATAAAAATGTAAAATTTTAAAGTTCAGTTCCTAGGCTGAAATCACTGTTTTTCTCTTTCCCAATTTCTCCCCACCTCCCAGTGTATTTAAACAGTCAATATCTAGGGTAGAAAACAATTTTGGGTTCAAATGGAAAACTATGCATTATCTATAGCACACTCTTCAATGGTATCAGATTATAGTCCTCCTAGTTGCCTTTGACCAACCTTACATTTCTTTTTCAAGTTATGGATAACTAATTAGTTATCCATAGTAGTGCAAATTCTGTCTCTAAAGGTAGAGGTTCAAAATGTCTTCCCTTATACTCTGAAAAAAAAGTGACCCCATTTGCAATTTCACCTCAACATTCCTTTAGTCCTTATTAATTTGTACTGTTTGACTTGCCCAGTTCCCTCATATGAATAAAATAAAAATTTAACATGTATTCACTTACCTTTTTCTAAAAATTATCTTTTAACCCTAGAGAAGTAAAATAATAAAACTATTATATATATTATTCACCAGTTTCTTTACATTCTAATCCAGAAGCCAACTGGGGGTAGGGGAGGCAGGAGTGGGTAAAGGGCGAATAAATAAATTGTGATGGAAAGAGACTTGACTTGGGATGCACACAATATACAGACAAAGCATTATAGAACTATACCCTCGAAGCCAAAGTCACTCCAATAAATTAAATTAAACAAGAAGCCATACAAAACACTGTTAATTATAGGGCACAGCCCTGACCAATTTGGCTCAGTGGATAGAGCTTCCTTCTGGGAACTGAAGGATCCCAGGTTCAATTATAGTTAAGGGCATGCACCTTGGTTGCAGGCAGCAGCTGATCGATGTTTATCAGGTGTGTTCCTAACTCTCTAACCCTCTCTCTTCCTCTCTGTAAAATCAATAAAAATATATTTGAAAATAATAATAAGGGCACATTGCATCCTTTTCTTCCCCCCACCCCCTCTTCCCCCCAGCTTTTTAGTTTAGTACTAGAGGCCTGGTGCACAACATTCATGCCCTGGGGAGAGATGTTCCTCAGCCTGGCCTGTGCCCTTTAGCAGGCTGAGAGCTGGGGAAGAGGGGGGAGGGGAGGGAGGAGTGTCTGACTGACATTCTTAGTGCTGCTGCAGAGGTGAGAGGCTCCTGCCCCAGCAGCTGCGCTCACCAGCCATCAGTCCAGCTTGTGGCTGAGCAGCACACCTCCTGTGGGAGAGCACTGACCACCACCAGGGAGCAGCTCCTCATTGAGCATCTGCTCCCTGATGTTCAGTGTGCATCATAGAGACCAGTTGTTCCACCATTTAGCTGAATTGCATATTAAGCTTTTATTATATAGGACTAGTGGCCCGGTACACGAAATTCGTGCATGGGGGGTGTGGGTGTCCCTCAGCCCAGCCTGCACCCTCTCCAATCTGGGACCCCTTGGGGAATGTCTGACAACTGGCAGTTGGACATCCCTCTTGCAATCTGGGACCGCTGGCTCCTAACCATTCACCTACCTGCCTGCCTGCCTGACTGATCACCCCTAACTACTCTGCCTGCTGGCCTGCTTGCCCCCACCTACCACCTGCCACCTGGTCGTCCCCAACTGCACCCCCCACTGACCTGGTCGGCTCACACAGCCTGCTATTCAGTCGTTTGGTTGTCCCTCATTAACCCCCCTGCTGGCCTTGTCCCCCTACACAGCCTGCTGTTTGGTTGTTACTGTGATGGCATCCTGGACAGTTTGCATATTCCTCCATTATTAGCATAGGTACCAAAACCAGTAACACATTTCTTCCCTTAACATCTTTTTAAAAACATTTGTATTGTTTTTTTTAGAGAGGAAGAGAGAAACATCGATATGAGAGCACAATATTAATCAGTTGCCTCCTGAATACCCTCTACTGTGTCACCCCAATAAATTCAATTAAAAAATAAAAGGAAATGAGAAATTACAGCAAAGGCAGATATTATGCTAAGTGAAATAAGTCGGCAGGAAAAAGCTATGAACCATATGATTTCACTCATATGTGGGATATAAAACTGAAACTCGTGGACACAAACAGCAGTGTGGTGGTTGACAGAGGGAAGGTGTGGAGGTGTGGAGGGGGTAAACGGGACCTAATATATGGTGACAGAAGATGATTTGGCTTTGGATGATGGGCACACAGTACAACATACAGACCTTGAAGTAACAGAAATCCACACATGAAACCTACATGATCCTATTAACCAATGTCACTCTAATAAAAGAATGCTAACAGTATTCGTGACAAATGTTACTGTTTTGATTATCTTTATTTGTAAATAAAAATAAAATATTTTCTTAAAACAAATATCCGAAACATTTTATCACATAAGTTTATAATTATGTGTTTAATCTTTTCACTGTATCTTACACATTTAAAAATGTTATTCTACCAGGAGGTCATGGGTTGGATTCTAGTCCGGGCACATGCCCAGGCTCATCTCCACGGACAGGACAGGAGCACCATCTTCTTTTAAGAGATTTTTAAAAAATATATATTTTATTGATTTTTTTTTTTTTTAACAGAGAGGAAGAGAGAGGGATAGTTAGAAACATCGATGATCGATCAGCTGCCTCTTGCATACTCCTACTGGGGGATGTGCCCGCAACCAAGGTACATGCCCTTGACCAGAATCGAACCCGGGACCTTTCAGACCACAGGCCAACGCTCTATCCATTGAGCCAAAACCGGTTTCGGCTTCTTTTAAGAGATCGTAACCTCTTACGACCTACTCTTCCCTTCCAGCTGTCCGTGAGGGTCTGGGAGTGACACGGTCCCTAATTCCTTTACGAGAGTCCCTAACACGCTGGGTTCTTCTCCCTCCAACTTCCCCAGAGCAATCTCTAACTTGCCTTTTAAACAACCGGAATCTCTGCTCCTGCACTCGTGCCCCTAAGTGCCTCCAAGGCCCCAGCACACCGCGTCCCCGCAAAAAAGAACCCGGGTCCCCCCCCCCCCCAGCCCCCCGCGCTCTCCCAGACCACGTTCCGCCGAGTTTCTGCTCGCCCTCGGCCCCCCATCCAAACCCCGGCGACGAGTTCGATTCTCTCTCCCACGCCCGCGTTTTCCCCGAGTGGAGAGAGTGACACCTCGCCCTTCCCCCTTCTCTACCCCCGTCCCCGCCCCCAACACAGCCGCCCGGCCGCCCCCGCTCCCAGTTTAAAAAGACTTTTTGAAAACTTTCCCCAGAGTCCCGTCCGAGCGACTCAGGGCCGCCCCACCGACTCACATTCTCGTCTCCAGAGAGGTCCGGGTTGCTGTTCTCGTCGCTGCTCAGCTTCTGCTTCTTGGCCGCAGGCATGTCTGTTCCCGCCGGGGCTGTCGACACTTCCCTCTCGGACATATTCCTCCGCCTCCCTCTAGGCTCCTGCCGCCGAGGGCGGGGCCTGCGCCACACCGCCGTCAAGCACGCCCGGCCGGAGCCTGCCGCAAAGCTGCCCCCGCCGCCGCCGCCGCCGCTGCCCCCACTGTCGCAAACCGCGCCCAGCCGCCGAGGCGGGCGTGCGTGCGACCCCGCCACACTGCTGAAAAAGGGGCGCGCGCGCGCCCTCCCGCGCGGCTTCCCGGCTCCTTCCCTTTCCCCGCTCCCGTCTGAGCCCTTTTCCCGCCGCCCTCCGGGCGATCTGCACGGAGAGGTGGTGCTCGTTTGGCTTTCGAGGGCCAGTATTTTTTCGTCCTTCCCCCTCCCCCTTCCCTACCACCGCCTGGAGAAAGGAGAGGCGGAACTCAAAAAGGGATGCTCCCGCGCCCCCTTCCTCCTTCCAAAGACGTTTCAGTCGCCGCAATTGGCCCAATTCTTCGGCCTCCGACCCGCTGCGAGGACTCGAAAGTCTGGGGAGTGGACTGGACCACCCGTGTCCCAGGGGGACAGGGAAGACACGAGAAGGAGCCTCTCGCGTTAGCGGTGTAGGCCAAAATGTTCTTAATTTTGAACTCGGAAAAATAAGGCTCTGCAAGTGATTCACGGTAGTGTTCACAGTTCAATTTTTGGTTAAGGGTAGGGATTTTTAAAACCGCAGACTGCTTTCCACTTGCCTCCCCCCATTTAGCCAATGGAAGTTACCAGCTAAGCAGGACGCATGCGTCTGGGCGTATTCTCGCGCTGGGACGTCCGGGCCCGCCTCTCCCAAGCCCCACCTCTTCCAAGTCTTGTTTGCTGAACCAGGTAGTCCTCATCGGGTTCCCGTACCTCGGGGTGGGTATCAAAGCGCTACCAAGTCATAGTTTTTGGATGCGTGCTAAATTCTTGATGAATATTTACTGTACTGAATGGTTATCCTCACCCAGTTGGTACCAATATCGGATCAGAGTTAAGTAGGGATAAAAATTGTAATGATTTTTAGACCCCCAATTAGAGTTACGAGTCCAGAGTGTTCTTTCTGTTAAAGAACCATCCAGGCCCTGAACAATGCCAAGGCCCCAAAGCCAAGGGTTATCTCCCAACTGTGTGTGAGACAGACTTAAAGGACGGACAGTCATTTTTGGCACACCAGATCACAAATTGTAGGGGAAGGCAGCAAAACTGTTATACATCACCAAAATGTTCATCCCTGTAAATGTTAGCGTATCTAGGTGCTTGACAGATGCCAAATACATTGGTGAGGCTGGTGATTTTGTTACATGGGTCATTAAGACACAACAGGAAAAGGAAAGTGATCACACACACACACACACCCTCTTTGTAGAACTTGGTTATCTCCTTGGTTTTGGGAGCCTCATTGTCTTCATATGTACAGTGAGATAGGAAGTGTGAAAGAAAAGAGCCACATGTTAACCTGACAAGCTGAGGGGAGGCCTGCATCGCGGTCTTGCAAACTCAAGAGACCTAAAATAACCATAATAAATGGCTTGAAAATTAAATATCTAACTACATACAGGTTATAGTGAGTAGTCATTTTCTAGACCGATATTTCATCTTAGATCTTTACTGAGTCAATTTGCCTTCCCCAGCCTCTAAGATAACATATCTGTGAGATGTCTGGGTAACTGGTAACTTCCTTTTTACCCTGGACCCCTTGGGGCACAACAAATGGCCTCAAGACATTCCCTCCTTGTTACTGTTATCAAGTTAATCGGTTAATATAAAAGAAGCTAATGTCCATCATTTCACCTTTTACCCTATCCCAGAAGTCCTCCCCCCCCCTCCCCGCTTTGCTCTGTCCCACCTCCCTAATCTGTCACCAATGAATTTCTTGTAACTCACCTACGTCCCTTTCCTTTGATTGCAATATATAAATATAGAAATGTAACCCACCTTTCTTCGGAGCGTTACCTCTATCTGTTGAGGTTCTGCTTCCCGGCCTATGTCGACAGTTTGGCTCAAATAAACTCACAAAAATTCTTTATAAGTTTCAGTGGTTTTTTTCGTTAACAGAAAGGACCTAAAGTTTCTTTTTTTAATTTTTTTTATTTTTTTTTTTTATTTTGAAGGAATATTTAATATTAACATTGTGAGTTATTATCTTTTGCATATCCAAGTTACACATTTCAAACAAATCGTCATTTATATTTACAGTATACAAATGCAAAGCTTTAATTTCCCACTAAATCATCACTTTCTTAAAATGGTACATGTGATGTTATGAAGCATTCGAAATAGTGGAAAAGAGGTCCAGAAAGGACCTAAAGTTTCTTGAGCATCTACTTGACATATATATTTCACCTGACAAAGATCAACTTAGATCTTCTTTACTGAGCCAATACCAGTCAGGGCTCTTTTTATTTCCCTTCTTTTTTAAAAAAAAAATAGGTTTTTAGAGAAAAAGCGAGAGTGAGTGAATCATCTATTTCTGATTCCACTTATTTATGCATTAATTGGTTGCTTCTTGTATATACCTTGGCTGGTGATTGAACCCACAGCCTCTGTGTATTGGGACAGTGTTCTAACCAATCTAATTAACTGAGCTATTCAGCCAGGTTTTTTTTTTCTTTTTCCCTTTTCTTATTTTATTGTATTTTTCTTGCTTTTTTTTTCTTCTCTTTATTTTTGTTGTTGTTTTTCTTTTTTATACACTACTTTTTATTTGTTTTTCTTTTCTTTACACTACTTTTTTAAACAGTAAATTATTTTTCTAAAAAAATGTTTTTATTGGTTTTAGAGAGGAAGAGAGATATAAAAACATCAATGAGAGAGAACACCAATCAGCTGCCTCTTGCACCCCCTTACTAGGGTCTGAGCCTGTAACTTGGGCATGTGCCCTGACTGGGAATCGAACTGGCATCCTGGTGCATGGGATAATGCTCATCAAATGGAGCCACACTGGTCAGGCTTTCATACTCGTGAAGGACAAAATACTGCCTCACTTGGGACAGTGCATAACTGGAGAAACTGGGAACATCTAAATAAAGTTCCAAGAAAAGCTGGGAACATCTAAATAAATCCCAAGAAAAATGGCGGCAGCCACGGAGCTGGAGAGAACAGGCTAGGGTTTCCCCCGGCAATGGAAGAAGCCAAGCTTTCCACCTGCCCTGGACTGCCTCGGCCACCATTCAAGGATACAAAGTTTCAATTATAGAAGGTAAACAAATCCAAACAGAAATGGTTCAGCCATGGAGTAACCAGGAGACTTGTCTCTTCTCCAAGCTACAAAGTTTCAATTGTAGAAGATAAATATATCCCAGACACCATGGCCTCTGCTTGGGTCACCAGGAGAAATGGCCGGCCTGCAAACCACCAAAGGCCCCTTGTGCAGGCCACCCCATACCCCAAAGGAACCCCCACCCTGATTTGGGACACCATCCAGAGCAAACCAGCTGGCCCCCACCCATGTAACAGGTCTTTATCCTATCTTATAAAAGAGTAATATGCAGATTGACCATCACTCCAGCACACAAGATGGCTGCCCCCAGGTGGAAAAGATCCTGCCCCCATGAGGACACAAGATGGCCACCACAAGATGGCCAGCAGGGAAGGGCAGTTGGGAGGCACCAGGCCTGTAAGGGAGGGCAGTTGAGAGGGACCAAGTCTGCAAGGGAGGGATGTTAGAGGCGATCAACCCTGCAGGGGAGGGCAGTTAGGAGTGGCCAGGCCAATAGAGGAGGGAAGTTGGAGACAAACAGGCTGGCAGGGAAGCAGTTAGACATCAGTAAGACTGGCATGGGAGTGGTTAGGAGGTGATCAGGAAGGCAGGCAGAAGCAGTTAGAGGCGATCAGGAAGGCAGGCAGGCAAGCAGTTGGGAGTTAGCAGTCCTGGGTTGTGAGAGGAATGTCTGACTGCCTGTTTAGACTTGATCCTGATGGGATTGGGCAGTTTAACATCCCTCAATCGATCCCAGATTGGAGAGGGTGCAGGTTGAGTTGAGGGACAACACCCCCTCCACCCTGTGCACGAATTTCATGCACCAGGTCTCTAGTTAAAAAATAAAATTGAGCCCTCGCCAGTTTGGCTCAGTAGATAGAGCCTTTGTCTGTAGACCAGTTCTGGGTTCAGTTCTAGTCAAGGGCATATGCCCCAGTTGTGGGCTGGATCTCCAGTCAGGAGCATGCAGGAGGTAGCCAATCAATAATTCTTTCTCATCATTGATGTTTCTAACTCTCTCTCCCTTGCATTTCCCCTCTGAAGTCAATAGAATATATTAAAAATAATAAAATTGATCTCTTATTAGATTGATGAGAACTCTTGTCAGAAATACCGCTTAGCCTTCAAATAAGTGGCAGTTCTATCTTGGAAATTTTTCAAAGATCATCTTACACAGGAAAGAAAATTCACAACTCCCTTGGTATTGTCTTCTGGTATCTTGTAAGCTTCATATCAGGAAATGAGTTTCAAAAGCTAAATTGAATCCTTCCCATTTCAATTGAAGTTGATTTCTTATTCATTCAACATTTTTTTTTGTCTTCTTAGCTTCATAAATAGCAGCTGTTCATCATCACTCATTCAGTGTGTAATCATATACTTGCAGATCTAGTTTCCTATGAAGAGAGCATCATATGGCTTCTTTGAATATTTTTAAATCAACCAGAAGGAATGTACTGAATGCCATTTATGTGCAAAGCAGTATGGTAATTGTGGTTCAGGGAGGAAATAAATAGGGAAAATTAGACACTGTGCCTTCCTTCAAAAAGCCTATTATTCTTCCAAAATTAAAAAATTTCTCATGCATTTAATAAATGTTTCCTGAATACGCACTATGTGGCAGGCACTGTTCTGGGAGCTGGGAATCCTTGATATTAAGCAAAACCAGGCAGCTTCTTACTGTCGGAGAGCTTACTGTCTAGTGGGGAAAACAAACAATCAGGTGAATAAAGCTAAAATTACAATTGTAGTAAATACTCTTAAGGGAAAGCACGTGGTCAGGGCTGCTGCTGCCACAACTGTATCTTTGTGCAATTTTTAAAAAGGT